TAATGATATAAAGTAAATCATAGTAAAATCCGTTTCCTAACGTGACTTCTTGCCGATATCTCTGTCGAAGTTACCGTGCAACACGCTGTTTGGTCGATTCGCTTTATATTATATTTTTTTCGTATGTCGGTATGTCAAAACATACTATTATTTCAAAAATATTTTAGCAATATTTTTTAAAGACGGCGGGCTTCGCCCCCCGAACCCCCCACATGTCCCCCGGAGAAACATCGTCCCCCCCAAACACCCACCATGTTTTAACTTACAACCGGGACAATTGGTCGCTCGAGCTGTCGAGCGTTTCGGAAAGTCAATGTATATGAGATTAAACTATTAGTGAACACCGTTGCGATAGTACGAGAATCTTTTGCGATATCTATGAGCCGTTGTCTTGGGGTACGCATATCTAAAACGCGAGTGCCAGGCTGTGCCGAGGACAAGGTTCTTGATAAGGACAGAATTAGGGAGAGTCTTCTTAATTATGTTACCTGCCGACCGAACGAGACACAATCGCGATTACCAACTCGAGCCCAAGAATTTCGTGACGAATACTATTATTTGATAGCGTGCTGCACTGAATGTTTCGTGAATGTCTTTACGAGAGGTATACTACCAGTTTGGTTGCAATATCATTAGAAGGTTACCATTTCACAATTTATTGTAGGAAGAACAGAAATATTTACTTTCTTCGTTATAATTACTATTTATACTTAATAATTTACTAAATATGTACCTTGGACTTGGCCTATTACCTCAATGTTGTTACTCATTTTACGTCATTGGTAAATACATTGGTAATTACAGTTATTCAAGTAACTGCGTACTTAATGACAGTAGATTAGAATAAAGCGAAAAAATTTTATTCCTTTTTCTACACGATAGAGAAGAGTGCACACGCCGGGTTGGTTAAAAAAAGGGGAAAAGTCAGTTGAATTATTGATATTACTCTCTCAGTTTAATAAAGGAACTAGCTATTCTTATTGGCTGCAGTCTATTTGTAGATGAATATTAACTATGTGAAAAAAATTAATAGAACCATATGCACAATTTATAAATGCAATGTATTCTTATTCAAAAGAAAAACTGTATCTACTTAACCCTAAAGCCATCTACTACACCACGAGCCTTAAAAATGTTTAGTGAAAGCACACTAATTAATTTATGACAAAACAGTTTTAACTATACCAGCATGAGACGAATTATACGTATTGTACAAGGTCTTGAAATGTAATAGGATTTCGAATTATCATTTACGTGCACCTTGCCTTTTCTTTAGTACTGTGGTATTATAATAAGTAGTTACTAATCTTGGTTTTTAAATATATTCATGAGATCTACTTTGCACTGCCTGAAATTTATTTTAAACTACTTTGCACTGTTTCGATAAGGACAGTATATATCGAAAATCGGTAAGTATAATGTGACAGTATCTCTAACGACGAACTGTGGGTATGTGCATGATTTGAGTGTGAAACCTATAACAGGTAAAGTGCAAATATATTTATGTCTACATTTTCTAACCGATATTGTACGATGCATATTACGCAAGTGAAAGTTAAATAGAAGAGTATTATCTAGCTTATCTGATAGTAAAAGTACGAGTAATTTCACTTTAACTGTCACGTAAACATCGCTGTCATGCGGAAATCTGTGATATAAGGTTGAATCTTCAACTTGATATTACGTGAAGAAAATTTTCAAGTAATAAAGTGAAATTACTCGTTAGCTATTAGGTTTAAGGCTAATAACGGTCAATACTTTGTTACTTACAATTCGATCATATTTTGATATAAAAAATATAGTAATCTGTTTAAAAAAACAAAGTTGACCTTTCGAAACGCCTCTGCCTATAAAAAAAATTAATGCACTACATAGTGTACCCTTTTAAACCGTATAACTTTTGTATATAACATTCTTTCGTGCAACTCATATTTTGGAAGTTATAACGCTGAACACGTTGCTTGGACCACTCTGTATATGTGAATGTTATGCAATTTGTCAATGTTTATTCGGAATCTAGAATTCAATGAATTATATGCCCAATATAAAGTGAAAAACAAATATTAGAATATCTATCTTGTTTGATCATGAGACGAATGTTTGAATAAGACATTTTATCAAAACCTGATACATATATCAAAATGCATAGTGGAAGGTTAAATAGAGAAATTATAACTCTCCTATTATAAAACTAAGTGTTTCAATCACATTTTATTAAAAATGGCATTAATAAAGAAATTATTAAGAATTTCGCGGTTAATTTATTGTACGAGAGAGAAATGCGAGTCAGAAAGTATCTTCTGACGGAAGAATGCCTTTCATACATATTTAAGTAGCAATTTCGCGTCGAATGCCGTGGATAAAGTCTGTAAGTCTCGTCTAGTCGCGCTTACCAATCGTTTCCCGTCAATTCGTGAGAGTCACGCAGCTGGCAGTGCCGCCGCCGCCGCGGTGGGTTCGCTCGTTTTTATTGCACCGCAACTGATGCCGTTTTAATATGTAATCCTTTTACGGAAGACATTTCATGTTCGACGTGATTGAGCCGCGATTTTCATAATTTCACCATGAAATTGCATCTCGTTTTGCTATGAAAAAAAGTTAAAAGAAATGCACACTGCTTTCCTCTTTTTATCAGATGAGAAATGGATTAAAGAGATAACTCATCAGTCATAGTAATATCGTGTATTTTAATGTGCAAACAAAGCTTCGTCCAGATGAATGCTTCGTATATCTTGCTAAGTTTTTATCTTCTCATATATTGGTATTAAGGTTGAAACAAAATATTAGGGATTAGTATCTGACTAAATTCTTATAAGTAACTATAAACGAAATCTTTACCAATTTATCATTAATCAACTTAACCAACATTGTAAGTTATAAATTATAATAAATGTTAAGCAGATAGAGTCACAGTGGATTCTTATAATAATGAGAATACAAGATTAGCACTCATTTAACAATGGTAAAGTTGGCACATACGATTCAGTATTTACTAACTGCTTACACACAGAGCGTGCGATTGCACTTGCATACCCAGACGTCGCAATTTCTGCGACGGGATGGAAAAGATCGATGGCAGTTTGGCAAATCACCAGAGAGCATCCACGCGATGTGATCGTGCGAGACGAGTTCGGCCATCCGATGCATATTTATCTCGCATACGTACGTGTGTGCGTATATTCCCGGTCATATCTTACAATTTGGGTTTAGGACATAAAATTTGAGTTTAGAACGTAAAAGATTAAACAAGTGGTATACATACTTCAAAGCATATAATAAATTACACAAAAGATCAATAAAGTTTGGCTAGATTATAAACAACGTGCAGGCAATGACTTGAATGAAAAATGGACGTTCTTTAAACTTATCAATTTTCCATATTAGAATTTGTGATACAAAAATTTAGAAGACTAGTTTGACATCTAACGCACTGATCAGAATATCTGAGATTTTGCGAACATTTTTATTAACCAAAATAAAAGCAAGAAGGCATACATTGTAATCCAGAATTTAATTCATAAGTACATTCATAGATAATGTTCAAGCATTAAAATTGAATGATATGCCTTTCTTTGAATATTCATTAAACATCATTTTTCATTTGTTCAGTTTAGACTCTGAGCTCTATAACAAAGATATCACATTCGGTTATACATTCTATACGTGGCAAGACCTGTGAACAGGATTGTATGCATTTACTTATGTGCACAGGAATCCTCGCAGCTGTCTACGTCTACGGTAACAACGACATCGATGCGAAAACAAGAAGATCGCGTCGCATCGCGTTGGCTCGAGTTCACTCGCAAATATTTGTCTTCGAATAGATTCGTTCCTGCTCGTTTGCAATGGTATACATCCAATTTTCCGGAAAATCGTGATGATCGATGCGTTACGGTTTTTCGCGTTACACTGGAATTTTCCTTTGGTTAGATGATTTCAGTTGTTCTATTCGAGGAAGTGTTTTCTGTGCGAATTTCTATATTAATTTAATTATGATTCAAACGATTAGTTGAGATGTTAACAACTTATGAAAAGCAGACTTCATATTATCAAATCATAGTACCGACGTGTTACTGATTTCTAGAGATGTGCGAGTACCCGAAAAACCGAGTTCAGGTCGAGTTGGCAAAAAACCGGGCGAGTCCGGGCGATAATTCGATACATCGAAATGCTCGAGCTACTCGGTCGCGCCGAGTCACTTGGGCCCGCCGAGCTGCTCGGGCGAGTCGTCGAGTCGGCGAGCTGAATCGCATCGTGTAAACTGGTCGTGCGTCGTCGTGCGTCACACTCTCGACAGGCCCAAACGGCACGATGCAACCGAGTAGCTCGAGCATTTCGATGTATTGAGTTATCGCCCGGACTCGCCCGGTCTTTTGCCAGCTCGACTCGAGGACCAAGCTACTCGGTTTTTCGGGTACTCGCACATCTCTACTGATTTCTACTGTCCTTTTTCATTATTTTATATTCAAATAATTTCTTTATGAGAAATGATTCTATTACTTTGTTCGATTAACAAATCGACTTGCAATAGGATTGTATGTACTAACTACCTACATACAATAAAACACTTATCAGCGGTCCCAAAATAAAATTCATTTGAAACGATTTTTCTAATTATAATTCAATTAACAATAACAAAATGCGCAATTACACTGATTACGATCAGAAAGTGTTTTCAATCTCATTCGTCGCGTCATGAAAAACGAGCCATTGGATTTGCGAACTTCGGAGGAAATTGAATTTCAGTGGTCGCCCGTCCAGGCAATTATCGGTGATTTAACCGGAGGCGAGCAGCCTACCCAGGGGAGAGGTTAGAAGAAACTTAACAAAACTAGTCGCGGGAAATCGTTTCGCTTCGCGTTACGTTGCGACAGACCGCGTGTCATGGGATTTCACACTTTCCCGTTCCGCATTGGGGGTCTCGTGATCCACGGAAGCGAGAGAACCGCGAAGAAAAATAATCTAAAGTAAAAAAAGAGACGTTCTTCGTCCGTCATGCTCCAACACGTGGCTTACTTTCATGAATTCCATTGTAAAAGGTGAATCAATATGAAATACTGTTTGAAATTATCCTTGATTCATTGATTTTATTATAGTGCCTTAGGAAATGAATCCTGGTTTAATAAAACAAACGAACTTAATAAACAGACTTGCAGTAAATGCATACAAAGCTTCAATCAAATCAAATAATTCCTCATTTTAAATGGTAGCTTTCCTTGAACCATCCTGTATATAAATAAAATATAAGTATTCACAGATGCTGAATGGCTACATCACGGAACTTCGTATACTCGCAATAATCCTTAATTGTCCGTTTGCAGTCGCTCACAATTTCAGTCGCACGTGGCTTAAATACTATAAGTACAGTAATACTCCGCGTATCAAAATTGATTCACAGATGATTAAATAACGGAGTCGTGCAAGGAGTTCACCTATTTTCTCCATTCTTCACAATTTCGTCCGAATAATCGGACTGACGTTCAAATAAGTGAAATTCAATCATATACATATACATATACATATACATAAGTACACATTTTTCAGTTCATATAACCGAGCAATCGCCACAATTTCATTCAGCTAAGTATGCCATGTTCTACGGTACTTACAGATGAACGGCGTCGTCCACAGATAGTTATCATCTATTTTATCATGCACAATTTCACTTCAAAGATTCCACAACATCTTATCTTAAGTATCTAAACTTTTACAAAAACTGAAAAGATTTTTTTAATAAACTCAAAGAAGATTAGGAAAATCATCGAAAGACAATAAGATTTCCGTTTTTGAGCTCCATGTCGCAAAATAAAATTAAAGACATCCAGAAAAGTTCCTTAAATCTCAGGCCGAACGTTCAACACTATTACAATGAAGCTCGTCGAATCTTCGTCAGGTAACAAATTCCCGGTTACTTTTCGGTCACTGACAAGATTAAAGACAAACGAAACTGGCTAAGGAGCACGTCGTTTTTATAAACACGTTCGCACTCCGTTCGGCAACGCACTTCCGAATAGACTGCCAGGTAGCAAAGTCACGGCTACTTTTCGGTCATTAAAAAAATGGAAACAAGCAAGGATATAAAATTGGCTACACACAATTACCACAGACGTGGCCTCAGGTATCCCACATATGAAAGATGTCATATATGAAATATGGCACATTTCACAAATTAAATTGCTGGTATGTGTTAATTGACATTAATTTTAATAATACGTAATGTGCATACATATTGTCATCATGTATATTAAATTACTGTCTCACATATTTCGTATGGTTTATTATATAATAATTACTTGTAAAATCTATCGAAAATTTTTGTTTTATTTAAGAATTTGTAATGTGAGGTGCAATTGAGGACGAATATATCCAACATGATGCAATATACAAAATGGACAAGTAACTTTTAGCAGTTGAATATTTCCGTCATTTTGTGAATATGAAAAAATGTTGTGAATACGAAAGAAGTTTAAAGAAAAGTATAGCGTTCCGGTAAAAGTATTTTTATAAATGAAAGAGTTACGGTGATTTCATAGTTACATTCACTTTAAATGCAATCATATATATATTTTTCATTATTATATATATATATGTGTATATATTTTTCATTATTATATACATATAATTATATTTATAGTATATACATTATATATATATAATAATGAAAAATAAATATATATAGATATATATATGCAATAATGAAAAATAAATATATACAGGGTGTACCAGAACTAGTGTTAGGCCTCGAAATGGGGAGGAGCTGTGGTGACTTTAAGCAACTTTTTCCTTTGCAAAAAAGTTGTCCGAGGCGTGGTTGTCGAGTTATTAACAAAAATTACCGACCAACCAGAGCGTTCGTGTACAAGGCGGACAGGAGCGCCATAACCGCCTCGTGCGTTGCCACGTACGTATGTCACGCTCGTGACGAAAACATAGAATTAAAACAAAATTTACATGCAAGAGTAACTAAGAAATTGATTAAATATCAGAGAAAAGAAAGCAATTAGTTGTTTGTTATGTTCACTGAATAGATGCAATATATTCAGTGAGATAACTAATAACTTTATCAATTACACAGTAGGTAAAGCATAAAAAATGGGAACAGAATTAGATTGCCGAAGCCTGACATTCGAAACTAAAACACATGGCCATATCTGTCAGTGACCTGCTTTAAACATCACTGCTGCCCACGTGTTTTATCTTCAAGTACCGGGTTTCGGCACATTGATCCAGTGACGTCTTCTAGGAGCAGGTAAACTTAAAGACGAACGAATAAGTTCAACTCTAATTCTCTTCTTATTTTTTTATAATTTTAACTACTCTGTAATTTATAAAGTTGTTAGTTATTTCATTGAGTATGTTACATTTATTGAGCGAACGTAACTAACGACTAATTGCTTTATTTTCTGTAATATTTAAACAATTTCTTAGTTGCTCTTGCATGTAACTTTTGTTGTAATCCTACATTTCGTCACGAGCGTGGCATACGGCCGCGACAACGCACGAGGCGGTTATCGCGCTCCTGCCCGCCTTGTATACGAGCGCTCTGATTAGTCCCGATTTTTTGTTAATAACTCGTCAACCGCGCCTTGGACAACTTTTTTGCAAAGGAAAAAGTTCCTCAGCTCCTCCCCATTTGAAGGCCTAACACTAGTTCTGGGACACCCTGTATATATATATTTTATGCACTAATTGATGCAGCTTGTATATTGGAAAATTATTAGTTTCTGAGATATTTTTACTGGTACTTCACTCTTTTAATAACAATAAAAATATAAGTTCAATCCAAGTAATGGAGAGTAAAGAATTATATAAAATAAAAATATATCAAAAACTAATAATTTTCCAACATACAAGCTGCAATCAACCAGTGCATAAAAAGATATATGACTGCATTTAGAGCAGTAAAAGTAACTATGAAATCACTGTAACTTTCTCATTTGCAAATATACTTTTCCCGAGGCGATATAATATTCTTTAACTCCACCCTATATGTATTTGTAAAAAGAATTTTATCTACGTAAATATACATAAATATACTTGTATATGATCAATTATAATTATTTTTACATTATCACTTAACATTTAAAGATTTCCTGGGAAACACAAGATCTCAGCATCTCAGCATTTAATGAAGTAGTGCGAATTTTGAAATGAACGTAACTTACGGTTGCTCCTCGAAGTAATATATTTTAAAGTAAATATGATTATATTTATCATCCATAGACACGTATCTAAGAGTACATCTAGAAGGTATTAAAAAGTTTCGGGAGTTTATATGTCAGAAGATTGTAAAAAAATCTAGCACTTCTTTCTAGATAAGACGAGTGATCAGAGATAATCATTAAGCATACAATTTGATGCAATTGAATTTGAAGTCGATTGTATTTTAAGACAATAATTAAAAGTGTTCAAAAGTTTTGTTAATAACTCGTCAACCGCGCCTTGGACAACTTTTTTGCAAAGGAAAAAGTTCCTCAGCTCCTCCCCATTTGAAGGCCTAACACTAGTTCTGGGACACCCTGTATATATATATTTTATGCACTAATTGATGCAGCTTGTATATTGGAAAATTATTAGTTTCTGAGATATTTTTACTGGTACTTCACTCTTTTAATAACAATAAAAATATAAGTTCAATCCAAGTAATGGAGAGTAAAGAATTATATAAAATAAAAATATATCAAAAACTAATAATTTTCCAACATACAAGCTGCAATCAACCAGTGCATAAAAAGATATATGACTGCATTTAGAGCAGTAAAAGTAACTATGAAATCACTGTAACTTTCTCATTTGCAAATATACTTTTCCCGAGGCGATATAATATTCTTTAACTCCACCCTATATGTATTTGTAAAAAGAATTTTATCTACGTAAATATACATAAATATACTTGTATATGATCAATTATAATTATTTTTACATTATCACTTAACATTTAAAGATTTCCTGGGAAACACAAGATCTCAGCATCTCAGCATTTAATGAAGTAGTGCGAATTTTGAAATGAACGTAACTTACGGTTGCTCCTCGAAGTAATATATTTTAAAGTAAATATGATTATATTTATCATCCATAGACACGTATCTAAGAGTACATCTAGAAGGTATTAAAAAGTTTCGGGAGTTTATATGTCAGAAGATTGTAAAAAAATCTAGCACTTCTTTCTAGATAAGACGAGTGATCAGAGATAATCATTAAGCATACAATTTGATGCAATTGAATTTGAAGTCGATTGTATTTTAAGACAATAATTAAAAGTGTTCAAAAGTGGAGAGAACTTGTATAATAAAATGAGATATGATTTTATTTATAATAATTTATTAATAAAATATAGATATTTTCAAAATTAATGAAATAATGTCCTGAGCACATTTATTAACTTCACTTCAAAACCTAGAGATAATGAAAAAATGCATGTTGTATATTCATATTGATATTATTATAATTAAAATAAATTCGCCTGCGAGGAGTAATAGACTATGTATACTTTTTATAAATAGGTAGTTCATATGTTCAAATAGAACAATCGTACTACAAGTCACATTATTAGTTCAAAATTATAAAACGAAAATAAAAGATACTCTCGCCAGTCATTCTCTGCGTGCATTATCTTCTCCATAAAACTATTCTCACACGCGATTAAAATGATCCCTACATCGTCGTTAATGAAGCTATTATATAACAGAACAAAAAAGCGTTCTATTATTCAACCTATTGCATAACTTGTATTGCATAACATAAATATTTCAATGAATATTTTGTTCCACTATCACACGGCATCACTTTTTATCCAGCTATCGCACTATTAATCTTGTTCTTTAGCCTCTTACGGGAACATAATCACGTATCAATCTTGTAGTAGAATATTATCCTTAAAAATCAAACGATTAGTTAATAAAAATGATTGCAGCAATCTGAACAATTGTAACAGATTACGCAAGTGCACGTTGAATGACTTGCTTCCTTCTTCGTCCGTACAAAAAAGCTTTAGTATCTAAAGATAGGCTAATTATGTATATCCAACGAAATTAACTGTATCACGTATAAAGCAGCTACTGTTACAATTTCATGATCTTATCACATAATTGAAGTGAACACCTCTTATCTAGAATGTATCATCATCATTTTATCATCATTTTAATTGTATTTTTATCTTTTAAAATGATAATGGTTTGTTTTCAGGAGTGAAGATAATCTCCGCAACGGAAAAGGCACATGATTAAAACGAACAAGATATGTGTGTATTAGATAGTATTTTCTCACTATGACACAGTAATAATACGATTTTCAAGCACAGTGGTGGGTGCCGATTGCGTGCACTGTGTTCACTTATATAAATTGACGGGTACAGAGAGATGTTCCGTATAGTAGTCTTGTAATCAGCACATGAGACAGTTCATTCAGAAAACCATGCGACAACACATCACAAACCTCTTGTTCATCTTGTGCGCGATTTCGTTCGCATGTCAGGCGGCGCAGTCTTATAGGATACTGGCCGTCGTCGCGACACCTTCGTACAGCCATCAGGTCCCGTACTATAAGTTGTGGATGGAATTGAATAAACGCGGCCACGAAGTTGTGCTAGTGACCGCGAATGTCATACAGAATTACAATGGAACGAATTTCACCCAGATTGATGTCAGCGACTCTTATAAAATAATCAGGAATATCGACTTTGTCAAGCTTCGAATGCATGGAGACACTTGGATTAAGTTGCTTGAGATTGGAGTGTTGCCATTAGCCGATGGAACAGCGGAGGTAGTGTTTAAAAATAAAGAGATGCAAAAACTGTACGCACCCGACAGCAACGTGACTTTCGATGTGTTCTTCACGGAGATGTTATATGTGCCGGCACTATACGCTTTAGCGCATAAATTCAACGCACCCATGATAGGTACTTATTTAACAATTTCGCGTTCCATATTTTCAATCGAGTACATTAATTTTTTGCATTGAGATTTTAATAAATAAATAGGCTATAGATTTTACACATTCATGAGCATGAACCTATTTCAAGATCATAAAAATCAGTGAGGAATCGCTGACGCAAATAATTACCGTACAATAATTGTTAAAAATGTAATATTCAAATATTCTAGAGAACATGTCCATAATAAAATGGATATTATTGCTTTTGAAGAATAAAAGAAATTCGTATCTGAATTACATTTTCTAGTTTCACAGTACAGATACATTATTTTAAATATAAAAGATGCAGGCTGTGAATAAAAAAAAAACATCAAAATTCGTAATTTTATCAACAAGTTATTATAATATTTTGTATATCTCATTAAAATTCTATAGAATTAAAAAAATATAGGTTGAATGATACTGTTTTCATCAGAGTATACTGCCAGCTTATCTTCTAGGCATGAGACGCGTACAAATTCGAAAAAAGTAAACAAAAATTTATCGTAGACCACTGCAAATTATATCATATGTTACTATAAATATCTTCAATTGTGTCAATTTTAATTTAATACATGAATATATGCGTAGTCAAGAAAAATCGTAATAATTTGATTCTGTCTGGGATTACATACATACATATGTATGTAGCGCGCAGCATGTGAGCGTAAAATCCATTGGTTCATATATTTCATAATTTATAATGAATTGCCTTGCGAACAAGAGTTTGAAGACTATAAAAGCCTAGGTGAAACGATAAACGTCATCATGATCATCGCATACGAATCCTCAAAATCTACTTGTAAGAAGTATAGTAATTTAGCCTAATTAGGATTCGTATGATCGTAGGGTTAAGCTCGTTAGGAATTCTTAGCATCAACGAACATATTTTGGGGGGAATACCGTTGCCGTCTCACGAGTATACGTGGGAAATGGAAGCGCGCACGGGCTCGAACCTATCATTCCTGGAACGGCTAAGGAATTTCGTGATCTTGTGGAAGAACATATACGACTTATATCATTACCATTTTCCGAAACATCAAATAATGGCGGAGAAATATCTCGGGAAACTGCCACCGTTGGAGGATATAGCGAGGAACACAAGTTTGATTTTCATACAACAATCGGACGTTTTAACGCCAGCCAAGCCGAAGCTCGCTAATATGATTACGTTCACTGCGTCTCATGTCAGCCAAAAACCAACACCATTGTCACAGGCATGGTTTATGAATTTTATTATAATACGTGTATGATTGCGCAAGCCGTATAAGCAGACTCGGTACTTCCTTAATGATAATAAGTATACAATCTTCGAGACTGAGGATTTATCGTTTCGATATTCTTTTAAAGATGTCAAAAGTAAAAAGAGATCCTCCTCTTAATTGTGACCAAATTTTCACGTTAATTCCATGTAGCACTTTTTCACATTTATTGAGGAAATAGTATATTCAGAGCAAAATTAATATGGATACATACCATAGAAATAATGCATGTTGTAGTACAAATTCAGAATGATTGTTAACTTAAATTGTGAACAACGAACGCATAGTGCATGGAAAATTTTTTATGTAAAATAAAACAAATAAAATTGAGTGTATTTAAATAATAACAAATATTCTTGTCTGGTTACATTAGGACTTGAAACAGTTTTTGGATGATGCTAAGGAAGGAGTCATCTATTTCAGCCTTGGCACCAATGCGATGAGCTCGGATTTGCCAATAGAACTTCAGCGCATGTTCTGTGACGTGTTCGCGAAATTACCATACAGAGTTGTGTGGAAATACGAAAAGGAATTGCCTGGGAAACCCGACAATCTTTACATTGGACGGTGGTTACCCCAGCAAAGTATCCTCGGTATGACCCTTTCATTTTTCTTTGTGATCTATACAAAATTCGCGTAATAATTTTATTACAATAAGAAAGAAGTATCGTAGCTTCCAAAAAAGGTTTCAAATAAATCTTGTCGTTTTCAATTTTCCTTAGGATCTTATCTTATTGATTTTTGACTATCCTACTTATTTTTCTAGCTCACCCGAAAGTAAAGTTGTTCATTTACCAAGGAGGCTTACAAAGCAGCGAGGAGGCTATATACAACGAAGTACCGGTTATTGGTTTTCCCGTACTGGCTGATCAGGATTACCAAGTAGGTAGGATGGAGGCTCTGGGTATTGGAAAGCGTCTCGAGTTAACGACTGTGATGAGAGAAGAATTCGAAAACGCCATTCAAGAGGTCATAACTGACACACAGTAAGTGTTTGCTCAAAGGATTTTGTAGTTTGCTTATAGTTAGAATATTTTCCTCTAATCACACCTTCTTCCAGATACAAAGAAAGGATGAAACACATAAAGAAAGTCGCAAAGGACATACAAATCGATCCGGTGGAGAATCTTGTTTGGTGGACGGAGTATGTGATCCGAACGAAAGGCGCGCCGCATTTGCGATCGAATTTAGCTTGGCAACCTTGGTATAAGAGATATGATACCGATATCATTGTATTCTTAACTAGCATCGCAGTGATAATTATCTTAAATGCAATTAACTTAACGGCCAAGCTATTCGTGTTTATTCATAGGAGACTGCAGTTTGTTAATACTAGCAAGCAGAAACTAAGTTAATCAATTTCTTTTAGTCTAAATTTAGTTTAGTCGAATGTGTAATGAGGTACAAATAATATGGGATAGATTTATTTAATTGGTGAGGGCAATCCCCTCATCAGGGTAGTCAGTTAATTACCTTAATTGTAGGAAGGCGTTCCTTATTTGTTTTCAAATTCTACTTGAAAGTAGAATTATAATTTTATATATTATGATAAAACAATTATCAAACTGAAGATCTAAAAGGAAAATTTATGAAAAAATGATTTTCATTGTGTATACGTGTATTGATAGCCTGTTTAAATTGTAATATCCTGTTTACAGCTAAGAGTTGAAAGAAACTGGATGATCTTGGAAATAGAAATAATTTCTGTGTCCCCAATAAGTTGTTTCTCCGCGGAGCTTTTATTACCATGTCACAAGTTTCACTTTGAGCTCCGTTATCCGAGCGCGACGTTTCCTATTAATTTCGCTTCCCCAAGGGTTTAAACTTCATTTATTGGTAAAGTTCAACGACGGATTGAAAAGTTTCGCTATGTGCCTCGATTTTCCATAAAACATCTCATTATTGCAATTCGACTTTTCCCTCGAGAATTTCACGAACGAGTACCGCTACACAAAATTGAAAATAGTCAAATTGGATTCTGCCACTCATTATACAACGACGTGATATCATAAACTATTACATAATGCTTTCTGATTCTTTTATAATTATTGAGTCTTAGAAAACGGACATTTTTGTTGGTAGAATGAATTATTTCAGTTAATGAAATAAAATAATTTTTTATTCTTCTGTGTATGCATTGGTGTAAACATTATTTTAGGTATTACATTGTGCAAATGTAATATTAGCATTGTTCCACGGGACTCGCCAAGGAACCATAAAAATAGAATTTTCCTCAGGAAACCGTTACAGTCTCAAGGACAACAGACCATCCTACGTAAAAAGACAACTAAAAACCCATTACACAAAGTACTAATCCAGTCCCAACACGTAAAATCCCATCGATGGTTTTAAGGGACCGCTTGTACCGGGATATTCATTATCCTTTCTCCGTAAGCGCAACCTCGACAGTAATCCTAAACCCTTAACAAATCGTAAATTTTGACACATGACACTTTGACACGTTGCCAACTGGACATGAATAACAGCTCCGTTGAAAATTCCACCCCACTACATAGCCTTAAAAAACTATCCCCACTTACTCGACAAAAAATGTCACGAAATGCAGGAAGAAGGGAAGGAAAATGAGGAAATTACGTTTCGTTCGACGCTTCGACGTTCACGGAGGAACATTGTAACCTCCTACGAAGTTAAATTCACTCGCGATATTCTGTACATTGTATTATTAATTTAAATACTATATTCAGTTTAATAAAGATTAAGTGTGAAAGCCATCATCAAATCATACCATTTTATTCTCCGTTTACCGACCCAAAGGAACGTAGATTCACGCGTGTTTCGTAAAGATCAATCAACATCAAGATTTATATCCTTGATTGACCAGTTATTTGGTCTTATTGCGACGCACGCGTTACGTAAAAAACAAGCATTTTAAACATTAAGATTATCACGCATAAATTTGAATTACAGAAAGACATAATTAATACTAGTCATTGTCTGATATGATTTTACAATATATTACTTAAAAACTCTTATCATTTAAGACTTCCTATTTCGTGATAGATAACACTCATTGTATAACGAATAGAATGAGCATCTTCTGCATATGTATATTGATATTCGATAATATGTATGATTAATATGATTTTAATTAGTTCATTCACGGCTGAACTGAAAAAGCCACTTTACTACCTGAAGAGTGGGACTAAAATCGCTCATTTTTCCCTTATACACCATAAGCGGGACGAAAAACATTTACTTCCGCAAATGCGGAACGATAGGAAAGACGTATCGTCTTTATTCTAGCAAATGCGGGAGTAAAAGGCTAGTCTCGCATATGTAAAGTAAAATATTTCTTCTCTTCCTCATGTACTTTGACAATCGCAAATGGGGACAAAAAATTTTTTAAATTAAAGAAACTTAGAAAATTTTAGAAAATGTTTAAAATTCAGTTCCTGACCTAGTTTTAAATAAAGTGGCTTTACAATTCAGTCGTGAATAAAGTACTATATGCAACACGGAAATAATGAGCAACTTTACTCCCTTGTTGCATAATGTACTGTTCTACAATGTCATGTTTATTCGAAGTATCACGTTCAAAAATAATTAGACTGCAAGCGAATAATATTAACGATAACCACAAGAAAATTTCATCGAATACTCGGCAAACCTTTGTTATTTAGAAGTTATGCTTACAACAAATCTAAGTACAATTTCTTTATTAACTGTTATCCATTACATGTTTAACATATACACCTATACACCCATTTAAACAATGCAAAATAGCCCCTGGTTACGTGTAGACCAACTCAGCAGTAACGAACTAAACTGATAATCCGTTCGTCCCATTAGCATAGCCCGTATTACTTTTCCGATATGCAGTACAACAACCGGAACTATCGACCCATAGTCGATTGCTAGACCATGAGACTCGACGCGAGCATCGCACTCTTCGCTCTGTGGCTCTTCCCTTGGCGGTCGCAGAGTGCTAGAATCTTGGCAGTGTTTCCGGTGCCATCCTACAGTCATCAGGTCCCGTTCCAGCCGCTATGGCTTGAACTAAGTCGACGGGGTCACGAGGTCGTCCTCGTTGCGACCGACTCAATCCACAACGCGAATACCACCAATCTGAGGCAGATCAACGTCGGCGGCTCGTATGCCAAGTACAAAGAGATCAGCTACGTCCAGAGACGACTGAATAAGTTGTCCTGGATGGAGCTGGTAGAAGACAGAATTGTGGATCTGTCGCTGATGTTCACTGAACACACACTGAGCAACTCGGAACTGATGAGTTTATACGCTTCTGATAGTAAACAGACGTTCGACTTGGTCTTCATAGAAATGTTCTTCACGTCTTCAATTTACGCGCTTGCTCACAGATTTAATGCCCCTACTATAGGTATTTCTTATATTTGATTGTTGAGGATAAAAATTTTCAATTTGAACAAATTAATAAATGAATTTGAAAAGAACGTTTCATTAAAAGACATTGACGTTTTATACGAATTTTGTTTTTGATAGAACTCATTGAATTAATGGATTTTTGTGTACTTAATATTTATAAGGCTTTTAACGGAATCAGTAAATATGTGAAAGAGAATGTATGTTATTATTCTGTAGAATATGTAATTGGAAAAATTGAATACCTACTTATTGATTAAAAAATACGAATAGGACTAAGCTCATTGGGATTACCCGCATCCGAGGCTTACACGCTGGGAGACCTGGTATTGCCTTCGCATGACTCTACGTGGGAGATGGAAGCGAACGTCGGCACGGATCTATCGTTTTGGCAGAGGGTGAAGAATTTCTGGATCCTGTGGCACTGGATTTACGTGTCGTACCGTGATCTCTATCCCCGTCATCAGGAGCTAGCGGAAAAATATTTCGGAACGCCGTTGCCACAGGTGGTCGATCTTATGAGGGACACCAGTCTCATATTCGTCAACGAAGATCCAGTCATGTCCTACGCTCGCCCGAACCTCGCCAAAATAATCAGGTTTCATTCCATCCACGTTTTCAAAAATCCGGAACCTCTACCCCAGGTATCTTATTTCGCACTACAGTTTTTGAGATACTTTGATCAATTCTATGCAAAAAAAAAAATTTTAAATTCCATATGAATGAAAAAATTGATCTTCAATATCAAATCCTGTTTCTCTTGTAGGATATAAAAAAATTTGTCCACAACGCAACGGACGGCTTTATTTACTTCTGCATGGGTACTAACGCGCGTTTCACGGACCTGCCAGAGAGGATTCAACACATCTTCTACGACGTGTTCGCGGAACTCCCTTACAAGATTGTTTGGAAACTCGAGAAGCCGCCGTTGCGAAAGCTTGACAACGTTTATGTCTCATCATGGTTTCCCCAACAGAGTGTGCTCGGTATAACTTACATTATTACAAAACCGCAAATAGTGATTAATTGCATTTGATTCTTCTTATAATAAATATTTATACGGTTATTAATTACGACTAATTATGCAACTCATCTAACGTTGTATTTAGATCTTATAAATGTATACATCATACAATTATAATATTTATGATTTATTATATTTAATTACTATTATTTTATTTTTAGTATTGTTTAATTAATTTACAGCTCATCGCAATATAAAACTGTACATATATCAAGGAGGTTTGCAAAGTACACAGGAGGCTATTCATTACACGGTGCCAGTTCTTGGTTTCCCGGTATTGTCCGATCAGGAATTTCAGTTGAAGAAAATAAAAAGTCAAGGCATAGGGAATCGTTTAAATTTTGAGACTTTGACGCGAGACGAGCTGGAAGCAACGATTCGAGAGGTGATAACCAATCAGAAGTAAGTTCATACAGAAAAACAGCCTGCGTTTCTTTTACTCTTCATTTTTTTACAATTTCTACATAACAAGACGTAACAAGTAAAATTGTGCATAATAATATATTAATATATGTAATTCGTTCATGTAATGAAACTTGATCCAAACATTTCGATTCTGGTCTCCGCAATTGCTCATTTCTATTCTTGACTAATTTTCCAATATAACTTTCACGAATTCTTTTTCATCTTTTTAGATATAAGGAAAACATGATTAGAGTTCGAAATCTTATGAAAGATACACCATACGACTTAGTGGACAATCTTGTTTGGTGGACAGAGTATGTAATTCGCAACAAAGGTGCCTCGCATTTTCATAGCAGTTTAGCGTGGGAACCGTGGTACCATTACTGTGATATGGACATTGTAACATTTTTAGCAATAGCGTCATTCATAATCGTGTTGCTCACGTTTAAAATATGCGCGAAGCTGCTTGCGTGGCTATTAAAACTACGGCAAGATAGACGCGTCGACGTTGATAAGAAAATAAATTAATTAAACTACCAGGAAATCTTCATAATTTGTAGTTTTGTTAATTTGCATTTTGCAATTTAGTTCATTATATTTTCCATATTTGTTAATGGACAATTATGTACAACGCACGTATAAGTAAAGATAAAGCATAAGTCAATTACTAACCTATTTACTTAATACAGATGCACATACAGGGTATCTGAATAACTTGGCTCCTATTGGTAACAGGAAAACATGCCATAAAACTCACAGTAATGTTTAAGTCAATTCTGAATCAACAGCAGATATCTTGCTACCCGCATCTGAATATACATACATGTATATCTCCATTTTTTATTTTTATAGATGAAACCGTAGGTATTCTAAACAATGGATTATGCATTACATGACTAATTTTTCACGTTGACAAATTTAATATAAGAGATTGACGTTTCCATACAAACATATTTTCTTCATCTGAAGAATAATGTTAATGAAAATATTCATTGTCTTTTCTATACTTTATTATACATATGTGTGTTACTCTGATTTACGATATGATTTGATGTAATACATATATATAATCTTCCAATTGAGTTAGCCTCAAACGGTTTCCAATTTGGATTATTTATCATTTATTTTTGATAAACTATAATCATTTGAAAATATCCTGAAACTTACGAACGTAGATGTGTCTAATGTTTACGTGAAGTGAAGAAGCTTGCAGTCTTGTTGACATTCTGCGCTCTCGATCTTTTCTGGTGAATGGGTGAGTGCAATCATTCTCTCGTTTATTTGTCCGCATCAATCGCGAACTGTAACGTTCCTTCTTTGTTCGTGGTTTCCAGCACGAAATACGATTTATTGCAAAAATAAAAGTCTCGCTTGTCCTTTTCACTATATCTATCATCGTTCCTTGTGGAGGAAATCGGTACATAATTACAACGCGAGCTTCGAACTCATCGGAATATAAGCGAGCTTATTCTAGCAAATAAAGCTTAGTAGCATTAATACTCTATTATGTAATTAGTATTTAAAACATTCAAATACTTTATAATTTTCTTTACGCACCTGTACTTATACTATACAGCATACTCTTTAATTCTGTATTTATATGCTACTCAACTTCTATTTGAAGTTTTATTCATAATGCTTTCCATTTAATAATTCTTTGAACCGTTAAAAAAAAAAGAACGAAGAATATGTACAAGGTCTCAGTCAGCTTGCAATCGATCAGAATCGGGATGGATCTCCATCGTGGCCAGAGAAATAAGATTATCAGAAACCGATAAGAACGGACATCGAGTGCTCTTGGAACCAATGCCACGAAAAGTTTCTTTGTTTCGGTAGCTGCTCTTCTTTTACTCTGCTTTCAAGACCTCGATACAAAGCAAAGGCAACCGTCTTTAAGAGTCGCGATGTCGCGGGACGATAGTGACACGGAATCGTTTTGTCGGGGAGGCGTTGGGACCATTTCTATTAACAATAGACCCAGGACGAGGAAAAGAGAATGGACAGTGGAGAGTGCAAGCTGCTATGTACTATTGTTTCCTACAGTTCTCTGACGATTATTGTCTCGCGTGTCGCTGCCAGAAACTTTTACGATTACGCTCAATTCTCCTCCGCAGTTTGTAGTCTTAAGGTCTGTTTACGCTAACGTAACTTCACCGTTACGTCAACGGCACCTACGGTCTATACATATACGTAGATCGTAGAATGTACGTTCGGCAGCGGAACCAATACTGTAGTCTTTAGGACAGTGTACACGGAAATGCGAAATGAACCCTCGAAGCCATAGACATATGTATAAGAATAGACCGCGCAAGTGGCGCCGAGCCTATAAGTGGAAACCGTAGAAATAAAATAGAGACAGAGAATGATACAGGCTCTTTCTATGTCCTTATCTAACTGTGTTTGCTTCGCCTACCTTTAGGAGTATTCCCACTATACGACACCCGTCCGATAACTGTCGGATGCGACAGCTCGAAAACGAGCGAAATCAGGGCTGTAGTCGGTAGGATAGAGTATAGGGAAAAGTGTGTAAAAGCAGAAGGGTCATGGGCTCCCGGTCGAAAAGGACTTCGAATCTGCAGACTGACCACCCGCTGTTTGGGTTCGAAATATTCTTATTCCCATTATAATTTGGCTCGGCGTTCTCTTCCTCAGCTGAAATAATTATTAACTAACAATCTACAAGGGACTGTCGGAGGGAATCGCAGGGTAGGATTTCGTTGCATTTCGCTCGGAAGCTGTCGCTCTCCGATCACGAAGCGGCCAGTCGAACCCAAACAGCGGGTGGTCAGTCTGCAGATTCGAAGTCCTTTTCGACCGGGGGCCCATGACCCTTCTGCTTTTACACACTTTTCCCTATACTCTATCCTACCAACTACAGCCCTGATTTCGCTCGTTTTCGAGCTGTCGCATCCGATAGTTATCGGACGGGTGTCGTATAGTGGGAATACTCCTTTATGATCGATCCTCACAGAGCGTGCGATGCGATGCGATGCGCTGCGTTTCCGTATTTTTCGAGTTTTCGATCGGGTCTGCCAGTGCTGTAGGCTATACCCTACAGCATATACTAAAAGCATGTAAAAGTCGGAGACTTCGGAGGGCTCAGAGCGTGCGATGCGATGCGCTGCGTTTCCGTATTTTTCGAGTTTTCGACCGAGTCTGCCAGTGCTGTAGGCTATACCCTACAGCATATACTAAAAGCATGTAAAAGTCGGAGACTTCGGAGGGCCCCAGTGTTAGCTAGCCGAGAATCGGTAGCTCGAGGACCAAAAGTAGGGGTCACACACCCGCTGTCCACTTACACATAGACGAAAAGGTCGATGCGATTCACTTACACGTAGACGAAAAGAAACGCATGCGATTTTTCCGAGAGTATTCTCGCCAAGAAATGCCGAGGATTTCATCGCAGAGGCCATAAAATCGACCTTTTCGTCTATGTGTAAGTGAACAGCGGGGGGACTGACCCGTACTTTGGGTCCTCGAGTTACGGGTTCTCGGCTAACTATTACGGGGGCCCTCCAAAGTCTCCGACGTTTACATGCTTTTAGTATATGCTGTAGGGTACAGTCTACGGCACTGGTAAACCCGGCCGTAGGCTCGAAAAATACGGAAACGCAGCGCATTATGGTCGATCCTCACAGAGCGTGCGATGCGATGCACTGCGTTTTCGTATTTTTGGGTCTTCGGCCGGGTCGACCACTACCGTATCTGGCGTTTAAAGGTCCTAACTATGGTTCTTAAGGGGTACTCGGTATATCTTCGCAATTTGGTCACCTTCACCATTTGTAATTAATATACAATTTTTATTTTAAGTAATAGCTATCATTAAGAAATTCATTTAATTCAAAACTATTTTTTAACAATTTAGGCTTTCAAAATCCACTTTCTTCTTCCACCACCTTCTTCACGAACAAAATGCACTCGTGTACATAGTGCGGAACGTGTACATATACATTTTGATATTTTATATGAAACATATGAATTCTCCTAAGTCACTGCTGATCCTGTTTATTGTCCAACAATATAGAGATAACAAATGATCGTCAAGAAATGTAAACTGATGTATTCATAAACAACTAACAGGGTTAATATTATACAGGATTCAATCCATTCTAAAAAACATTTGCAAATCCAAATATTCGCGTATATTTCGGAAGATGATCATTCAAGAGAAGAATATTTCAATATACCACATCTTAGGTTTTTATTCCTGGATGAAATATTATTTCTTTGACAATTTGTTTCATATTTCATTTTATTATTTCATACTGCAGCATTTTACCTATGTATTAAAAGCGTAATTGAGGAAATGTACAATATTTTTATTCATTGAAAAAAGGTATAAGAAAGTAACTGCAGTTACCTGTTGTTTACCTCGTTCACCAGTCGAAGGGTCACCCTCTTACATCTGGTAACCAGGTATCTACCTAAAGTGTTTTACCTTTGCAATTGTAGTCATAAATAGGTACCTAAGCGAATGCAGAGAAGTATTGTCAAGTGTAATAATGAAAATATTGTCCTTTTGTGCTTCTCGTTAACACTGCGATAAGTTATTAAATTATTGAATTCAACATCTCAAAATGTAAGCAATAAAATTGATATCATACAAGATCGTAAATTACATTGTCTTGAAGAGTTCAATTAAATTATACGAAAAAGAACCAACCTGACCATTGTACCTCATTGAATAATATCGTAAAAAGAGTTCGTCTCTATCAATAGTCTCTCAACCATGCAAATTATGTATGAAAAATTTTGTCTACCCCCTAACTTCAAAAATGAATGATCCTCTACTGTTATTCGGAACTCTTTGTACATTATAAAAAGAGACAATCGCTATACGCTATGCTAATCCTATTACCTGCTTATTACTAGTATTATTCTAAAATAATTGTCGATAATTTACTATCAAAAGTAAAAGGACAAAAAGTAGTTGCGAGAATTCATGTGTTGAAAGTGAAATGATGCAAATTTTCACATACACGTTCTCTCATATTACTGGAAATGACAAATAACAAATCCATTGCCTATAACAATCCATGATGAAGTGAGTATCTTAAGTATTTCTTTATATATTATTTCTTTATTCTCTATATTATTTCTATATTTACTGTTACACTTAATAAA